TGAATGGTCTGGTGCTGCACACACGCACACAAGCGACATGTACACACGACGAGAACAGCCAGGTCGGTGGTCGGCTTACCAGCAGCAGGGGCCGCAACGCCACATGGACAGAGACCTGCATGCACGGGCAAGTCCGAAGGTCCGATCTGGAGCACCAGTTTCTTCAGGACCGACAGGTCCGCCAGGCCCTTCTTCCTCCCCTCAACCCCCCTTGCCGGCGCCCCTCCCTCCTCCATCATGCCGCCCTCATCACAGCCCTCCTCGTCAATGTCGTATTCCCCTTCCTCCGCCCCGCCCTCATCCAAACCACCATCTTCATCTAAATCGACCGGCGAGATGGCTGGCGGCTGTGTGTTGTTAGTCATGGGGATGAAATCGGCACATCACAGCACCTCGGCGTCGCCTCTGAAGGAGTGAGAAGACCGTCGTAGTCGTAGTGTGCCGTGGGAACGTCTACATGCGCCATGGCGTTGATGCGGCTGGTGAGCGTCAACCGGCCCGCCAGCAGCGTCTTGAGCAGCGTCTCTTCCTTGTTGGCCAGCGGCAGGGCAGCCAGGCCGTCCGCTGCGACGGCAGAGCGTCGAATGTGCCGCTGCGAAGGAGTCGGAAGGAAGGCTGTGCGGACAGACGCCGAAGGACGCGACCCAACTGAAACGACCCACACGCAGTATGTGAATCCATGTCAACGTGACCTCAGCTGGTGAATGCTGTCTGTGCTGACTGACCAGGTCAAGAGCAGCTTTGAATATCTGTTTGGCCGACTCCTCAGCTTCCTCAGCTTCCTCAGTTGACAGGTCTGCGTTCCTCCACACAGCGGTGGATCGGTCGGGCAGCGTCACCTCCACCGGCTTCCTGCACGTCACGGGCCGCCCCCTGGCCGCCGCCTGCCTCTCCCTCTCCTTCTCCTTGACACACACATACATGTACCACACGTAGGCCGTCAGCTGGCTCTGCACAGCCAAGACAACCATGAGCTTCCGCAACTGCTCGTCGTAGGCAAAGGGCCAGTCGGGGTGCCACTGCGACACCACGTGGTCGATCTCAGTCAGGCACGACTTGGCGATCATCTTTGCCTCCCACTCGGAAGATGAGGGCGGGCCCGACCACGGGCCAGCGCACACCACAGCGCCCTCCCTCCCCTAGGCATCCGTGCCACCTCGGCTAGTGGCGGCAGCGGAACAGGGCTATCCACGACTCGAGTTCCTCCCTCCACTGCCTCTTCCTGATCATCTTCAGGTCCTGCGATTCACTCCTCACTTCCCACATCCCCTCCCGTCGGTCGTATTCCCAATACTCGCACTCTCGCCGCACCCCATTCCATATCCAGCCCTCCATCCAGCCTCCTTGGACGGCTTGAGGTGTGTCGGGCGGTGGCCCCTTGATCAGGATGGCCGTGTCGGGCTGGAATGGGAGGGTGGGCGAGTAGCTGTAATCGTAGGTGGCGGGGCTCTGGGGGTGGGGGAGATGTGGCGGGGGTGCGTGTGCGGGTGGCTGCAGGGCCGTCATGGGATGAGGGGTCGGTGGGAAGAAGAGCGCAGGGGGCGGCGGACCCTCCTTCCGCCTCTCCGACTGACGCGATGATGATGGCCCGTTCGGCGCTCCACCGCCCCCACTGGCCAGCCGGCTGCTGCCTTCAGGTGCTGGCGCGGGCGAGTCGAGCGAATTCACCGCATTACGCGGTCCCCTTCCAGGTGCAGTTGCCTTTGGTGTGGCCCTGCGGTCACTCCCTCGCTCACTGCGGACAGGAGACTTCCCATGGTGGCTCGAGGCAGCTGACGCAGCGGCAGCGGCGTCCCCTTTCCTTGGCCCCTCTTGGGACTCCTTGACGCGGCCGTTCTGGCTTGACGGTGGAGAGGCGGCCCCCTTTGCCGCGCGATCGGGTCCTGGCTGTGAGGATGGTCCAGCAGATGACGGCTGTGGGGCGGACGGCCCATCCCGCCGTGCAGCAGGCGCTCTCCCTGTGCCACCGGACGGAACGGGCGAAGCGGCACGCGGCGCCTTGGCGACTCCATCTGCCTTGGTGCCCGGCTTGGCAGCAGCTGATGGTGTCTCCTTGGCTGATGACGGTCTGGGGGAGAGGGCGGCTCTCGACGAGGCCATCTGCTCGCGGACGGCCTCCTTCTTCTGCGCCAGGTGCTTCTCGGCCTTGAGATCTGCGGCTGGTTTGGCCGCAGCTGACGGCTTCACAGGCGGGGACGACGGTGGCTGACCAGTCGGCTGCTTGGGGGGTGTGGATGCCGGCTTGGGTCTCAGCTGGGGTGTCGGTGTCGATGTGGGGCTGCGGGCGGGGGGCGACTTGGATGTCGCCTTGGGCCCCAGAACAATGCCGCCCGTCTTTGGTGACGTCGAGGGAGGCTGCGGCGAAGTGGACGCTGCCTTGGGGGCAGCCGCCGCAGCAGCACCTTTGATCTCGGGTGCCGGTTTGGTCTCCGGTGCCTTGCAGGGAGCACACACACACACACACCAGATCAGCCTCCCTTCTTTCACCTCTCCTCTCTCCCCTCTCACTCACTCACCGTCTGCTGCTGCAGGTGGTGGTGCGGGAGCGGTGTGTGTGGTGTGGCGGCGTCTGGCTGCTGGGGGGATGCGATCGGGCTGTCGGGGGTGGCCTGGAAGACAATGGGTGTGTCGGTGATGGGTGCGGGAATGGGGGGACTCGTGACGCCCCAGTGAGCGGCCAGCACCATTATCTCCATCTCACGCAGCCGCTCGTCCATGTCGATGAGGCCTCTGGGCAGCCGCTCCATGCGCTCCCATGGCATGGGCCTCAAGCTATCCACAACCAGCTCCCGCAACTTCATCCCCACGTCCCTCGCCCACTGCATGCATGGTTCTGGCCGCAGGAAGAGCGATGGCGGCGTCGACCCTTTGGCTGCGCTTGGGTCGGGCTCCTCGGGCAGGACAAGGGGCAGCATCTCCGCCCACCTGAGGGTGCTCTCGATGGCCAGCCGCAAGCGGAGTTGCCTGCCGGTCTGTGGCTGCTCGGGGGCGTGGATTTGGAACGTCCGCTCCATGTAGTCGTGCATCAGCTCACCCAGCAGCACCGACAGCCCTTCGACGCCCAGGCCGAACAGGATGGCCGCCTCCCCTAGCCACATCTTGGGCTTGCGCGTCTCGCCCTGTGTGCCGCCCTCCTCCACATACAGGCCCCTCTCCCCCATCTCATCCAGCAGCTCCCTCATCCTGCCCTCGAGCGTGTCGATCTCCGCCTCGTCCGTCATGCCACAGCCGACCTCCCAGCCGTCCATGTCGACCATGGCTTCCCCGCTCGCCTCCTGTGCCCTTCTGGCCGCTCGCTGGTCCGCCCACTCCTTGGCATACATGAGGGAGAACTCTGGGGCATGATGGTATGGCGTCGTAGTCCACATATTCTCGTCCTCCCCTTGGTCCTCCTTCCTCACGCACGCCAAAATGGGCAGCCTGCCGATTGTGGTGGGCGGCGGGTGGCTGGTGGCCTTGGGCGTCAGGACATGACCGAGGTCGATCATCCGCAGGGCCCCGCATGCAATGCTGCTGTTGCTGTCGGTGACGACGGGGGCTGGCTGACGCTCCTGCAGCTCCTTTAGGTCAGCTGTCGACACACGCGGCTCGCCCGACAGTGGCTCGATGTGGAGCGGGGGGATGCGATGCATGATGGGGATGAGGCCGTCCGTCGACACGTTGTCGTTGGCCAGCGCCCTGAGCAGGATGGCGGCGTTGTGCAGCCTCACCATGCCCCGAAGGACACGGATGAGGATGACGGCCACCTCCTTCAGCAGAGCCTGGACCTGCGGAAGATGCACATGGCGGCTGTCGACAGCGGCGCAGATGGCGGCGCACTTGGGCAGGATGTCGCTGAAGTCCCCGTACTTACCTGAGTGAATGATGCCAAACACACACGGGTGAGGGTGTTTCTGATGGATTGTGCAGTGCGAGTGCGCAGTGTGTGAGTGGCCTTACTCATGTCCAGCCGGGGCATCTTAATGGCGAAGATCCTCTGCATGGCCTCCGCCTCCTCCTGCGTGACCTCCACGCTGCCAGGCACGGTCGAGATGAAGAGGCCGGTGGGGCGGCTGGGGTGGGCGTGGTGGGCGAGCAGCGGCAGGAACGGCCTCTGGTTGTGGGGGATGCCCAGCTCCTCGCACCGTGCCTGGATGGCCTGCATCACCTTCTTCTCCTGGCGCAGCGCCATCCATTTCTCCTCCTCCTCATCTGACATAGCCGTCTGCTCCTCGAGCAAGACGGCTTTCCACAGGTGGTCAGGGGCGTCGGCGGTCGTGATGATGGTGGCATTGCTGCCGCCGCTGTGTCGGGTGATGAGGCCCGACGGCGGGCTCGCTGGCTTCCCTCCGACCACCGGCAGCGCCTGCTACACCTGGACCTCCTTCAGCACCATGCCCCGCGGCATTTGCTCGGGCACCTCGCTCTCTTGAGCCATCCTTCTCTTCTCTCAACACGCAAGCTTAAAAGCTCGCGACCGACTCGCGATCATGGAAAAAAGCCGCAGGAAGGCGTCTGATGTTGTTCTGACTGGCCAGTGGATGTCAGAAATGAGCATGGAATGTTAATTTGATCAGTCGATCAATGGAAATGCGCTGCTCGTGAGTTGAGTGCTGTCTGAGGGCATACCCAGCAGGAAGCAGAGGTGGCACACAGATTGAAAATGTAACGTGTAAGCAGCATGTCGATGATATCCCCATAATGGCCAAGTCGTGTTTCGTACAGCATACTTTATGGAATGGTCGCATTTGACCTACTCCTCCGGCATCAGATATAGAATGTGGGCAGGTGGATGACCTAAAATGGACACGAGCAAATGCGAGACATAAAAGTGATAATCTTTCCTGTTTGTCTCCATGTCTGCCTACTTGTTGGCCGCTCGCTGGTTTGGTGGACCCAGTGGGTATTGACTATGCGCTGCATCTGCATCAGTTGCTCGTCCATGGCGATGAGGCCGTGCGACAGCCGCTTCATCCGCTTCTCTCACATGTGCCTCACCCAGTCCAGCACCAGCTCCCGCATATTCACTCCCACCTCTCTCGCCCACTCCATACACGGCTCCGTCCGCTGAAACAGCGAAGGAGGCTTCGGTGCTGCTGACGGGCTCGACTGGGCGGGAGGTGGGAGGACCTTCGGCAGCCGATCGGCCCAGCTTAGGCTGTTCTCGATGGCCACTCGGACTGAAAGAGAAGACATCACACCACACAAGACCAGACCACACACAACATGACAGCAGCCGACACATACACATGACGTTCATCCCCCACGTGTGTTTGTGAGTATTGGTCTTACCATGTCCTCCATCCTCAGATGCGAACGAATGTGGTGCGGGAAAATTCCTGATGAGTCCGCTGATATAAAATGTAGGCAGCAATCGGCCGGCAAACTCCGTCGATCCCTCTCCTGCAAATGGCGCAGCTGCTCCTCCAGCTTGGCCTCCAGTCGCGCCATCTCTCTGTCATCGGTGATGCCGCAGCCGCTCTCCCAGCCATCGACAGACACCAACTCGACCACCACACATTTCAAGCACATGTACTTGGTGATCAGAGGATGGTCATCGGCTCACTCTCTAGTGCGCAGAGGGTATCCTGCAGCCCGTGTAGCTTCTGGTGCATGACGGTGTACTTGTCTGCCCCCAAGGCCTCGTACGCCTTGCGCGCCAGTCGCCAGAGCACGGCGAGCACCCCCATGGCGCCCACCTGCACCACCGACAAACGTGAAAGAGCGGCAGGGGAGGCGGCGGTGTGGTGTCGTGTTGGTATTGGTGCTGGTGCTGGTGCTGATGTGCTTGCTGACCTTGAGCCGGTTTGCTTTGCCGATGATGACATTTTTGTTGAGGATGAAGGGAACGAACTGCTACGCCAGCTCGTCCCACATCCGCGAGTCCAACACCAGCTCATCCGACACACTACCATCCTGAACACACACATATCGCTGTCGACCTCCTGCCTGAAGAACAGCAGAGAGACATGAGGAAGACCATGAGCAATGAGACGTCATAATGCCATAAGTGTGTTCCTCTTCGATACACACACCTGCACTCTGGCGGCCTTCAGCTGCCTACTGCGGCAAATGGTCCTCATAAGCCGAACAAATATAAAATGTAGGCACCGATACGCCATCATCCCCTTCACCCGTCAGGATCAAAGCTGCCTCTTTGACCAGCGCTTGGACCTTGAGGCCTCATCGATCGGCCTGCCTCCGGCACGATCATGGGCACGATTGTGTACCCACGCAAGAAGCGCAGGATCACCGTGCCGATGCCGTTGACGGCTGTCTGCTCATCCATCCACAGTCGTTCTTCCCCGCCCCCCCACTTAATCAGCCGCTCGTTGCCTGCCGCCCTCGTGCGGTTCTCCGCCCTCGCCACTGCCGCCACACGGCCTGCTGCTCGGCCGCCGTCATGCTACCCATAGTACTGTTCTTGGCCCGCCACTTCCAAATCAGCAGCAGGGCCGTCACCTCGTCCAAAGCGGCGGGGATGCCCGTCGGCCGCTGATGCTCGGCCAGCTGCCGTTGCCGGTCCAGAGGCACCGGCGCGCACGGGCCGTGGATGTGTGCGGGGGGACGGAGGGACGCCACGTTGGGGGCGTCAGCTTCAATTGGTCAGCTTGCTGTCAGAGCCCTTTGGGGACGTTGTGCGTCACCCGCACGCTGCTCGCGAAGTCGATCATGGTCGCGCCGGTGCTGGGCAGATTGATGGCTCCAGATGGGGATCCGACGGTGTGTGTCTGGTCGAGCTCAGGCAGGGCAAATTCGTCGAGGGCCTCGTTGTGGAGGAAGATGTCCTTGAGCATATTGTCGGGCAGAAGAGGCCAAACCGCATCAGCAGGGACCTGTGGCACCTGGTGATGTACCACAAACCCCGCGTCATGCGGCGGATCGCCAGATCAGCCCGCCTTGCCGCCATTGCACAGATGTCGTTGGCGGCGTCAGGGTTGCAGTCCGGTGGGATGATGGGCGGCGGGAATCGCGCCGAGATGCCCGTGAAGGACTGCACTCTCAGAAACCCATCCAGCGGCGTGTAGGCATCTGATTGAGTGAGTCAACAGACACGGAAGAGAAGAAGAACACGGGACAGAGAATATGAGATCCTCTCTTTCTGCCCCTCTCTAGATTCCCTCCCTCCTTCCGTTCGTGTGACACACAGACGCACCTGGTGGGAGCTGTTCCATAGCGACAAACAGACAAGAAGTCTCGATATCGCCCTCGACGAGCATGGCCGGTCGCTCAGGGTCGATGTGGGCGCCGAAGATCCGCACAAAGGGGGCCTTGGTCGGCCCCTCCTCTATTGCAGTGAGGTCGGCACTTGCCGAGTCCCGCAGGTGCACCAGCCTGCTCGTTTCGATAGCCGCTGCCGCACTGCCGGTCTCTCGCTCACCCCGGTCGGTGCTGCCGAGGCTGCTGGTGTTGGTGGTTGGCAGCATTAGCGTCTTGAACGCCGCCTGGCAGTGACTCCTGTGCAAAGTACGCTTTCATGCACTCGTCAACCGTTACGCCAGCAGACTGCCAAAGGACACACACAGAGAGAGCAGAGAGATGCAACCAACACATCAACCACGTCTCGCCTGAGTGTCTGATTTGTGCGTGAGTGTGTACAGTACCTCGTCCGTCACAGCACGAACACACCCGAGTAGGTTGTGGCAAGCTTTGCCGCTCAACTTGCCCGTCAGCTCGTACTCATGTCCATTGGCGCAGCGCAGGATTGTCGGGCTCGAGGCCGACATCGTGGCGTCTGCTCTGCCTCGATTGCTGACTGCTGAGCTGTTAATTTTCATGTCATCCTCTCATAAGCTACGCGAATTTAAATGTAGGCAACGATGTATAGGGATGACCTGGCGAGATCAGGGGAATGGGAGGGCGCCTGCAGGGAGGCCTTGGCGAGCTTGGCGATGGCGTCGCGGAAAAGAGGGGCACCGTCCCATTCATCAGGGGCGAGTAGTAGGCGTGAGTCACGGGCAGCATCTTGTGCTTCTTCTCGTCGATCTTGAGCAACAGCATAGAACAGCACTTGTTCTCCCTTATTGAGTCCGATCCCCTTCACCTGGTCCATCAGTCTTTCCTCTCTTGCTGCCTGGCTGTCTGCCTCCCGCTTTTACCGTTGAGGTGGTTGTAGATGGTTTTGAAGTCGTCAGGGATCTCTATCGTAGTGCGATGCGCGGAGGACGGCAGCGGCCGGCAAGGCCTTGGGGCGCTTCTGGCCGGCAATGGCGTCCGTGGAGCGCACGAGTGGCCAGAGGCAGCAGGGGGATGGTCGTCGGGGTCCAAAGCTGCTCGATGCGGCACGGCACACAGACAGGCACACAGACAGACAGACAGACAGACAGGCGTAAGTACATGACACCAAACGCACCACACGACCAAGAGTGCTGTCACTCGTGCACGTGCCCACCTTATCCTCTCTCGTCTCGTTGATGATCTCCATCAGTGGCACCTTCTTCGTCACCTCCGCCCACACTTGCTTCAGCCCCTTCTCGTATCCATGCCACTCCTTGATGAACTCGACGAACCCAGCCACGCTGCCAGGCGTCAGTGTGCCGTCGTGCGGCATTGATGGCACACGCGGAGAGAGGAGAAAGAAAGGATGGAACAAGACCATGCAGTGCGAGAGTGTGCTGTGCGTGAGTGTGCGTCGGCTGACCGAGAAGCCCATGATGTCCATGCCGCGACATTGTATTTCGCCATGCAGGACAACCAACCAGCCACCCGAAAATAAATGAAAAAATCCCGAAAACGGATCTGTCTCGACTTCGCGAATCTCGTCCCCCCCTTGGAATGGCCATCTGCATTCGTCCTGACAATCAGCAGCATTCCTGAACATCGGTGCATCAGCTGCAACGGGCCACTCCGGCCGCACCTATCGATCTATCGTCACTCAGGCCGCAGTCAAGCCTCCAGCCGCCGCCTTTCAGCGCGTCCCTGATGCTGCTTCCGAGCTGGTGGGCGGATCTGCCGTCGGTGCTGGAGCCACGCAGCGAAGAAATGGCGAGACTTCGTCGCTTGAGAGTGAGTTTCGCCGTGCCCTGGTGCAGCTGACGTTTGCCTTTGAGAACCCCCATCTGAAGCGCAACTCGCCGCAGTCGTCATCGCTCCTCTTTGACGCATCAGCTCTTATCGGCCCCTCGTCACAGCAGGCCGTCTGGGAGAGGCTCACGGCAATTCTGGAGAAGCATCTGGGAGGGTGCGAACGGGCCGTTACACCGACTGGCTCAACCAGTTGATTGATGAGTTGCGTCCTTCTGGCTGGCACACTGACTTAAGGTCGTGCAACAAGAACGAGAGCTGCCACGGGTTCTTTGTTGTGTTTGATTCAGGCCCGCCCCGTGATGTTTCCTTCAAGGCGAACCTCTCTACGCGGGGAGGTGATGGGTGCGAACTATCATCGTGCCGCTTTGTCAGCCGATCGACGTGCCCGCCGCACACGGACGCGGAGCGGCAAATCAGCCAGCACTGTGACGAATCAGCCTCTGTCGTCGTGGACCGGCAAATCAGCCTCTCTCGCTGGGTGCGGCGCCGTAGTCGCACTCAGGTTGATGCGCCGCCGTCTCGTTTTGATGTGGTACGCTTAGTGGGGTGAATGGGATGAGAGAAGTGGGCAGCAATACTTGCTTCCTGGCCACTTGAAAAGGGCAGCACTGATGGCAGCACTGATGACAGCATGCTGATGGGCGGACAACACTAGGGTATCTGTAGGATCTTCCGCATGTGTGACTGTACAATGACGGCCGTCTTCGTGGCTCTGCAAGACTGTCAACAATAGGAGATTGCACAACACCTCTGTCTTAAGTGTGTGTAAACAATTTTTGAGCTCGCTGGCTGTGCGGGCTGTCCTTCCGCAGCTGTGTGAGGCTTTTGAATCTTGTCAGAGCGACGCACTCGGCCATAGCAAGGAGCAATGGACGGCACCGGCCAGGCGAACGACGTCATGGAGCCCGCTGGAGGCCGCATATGGAAGGGCCGCTCATGGAAGGACATGGATATGGCAGGCAAGATGGAGTTTCTGACTGTAAGTCAACTGACTGTCACAGAGCAGGGCGAAAAAGGCATGATGACTGATGAATGATCTCTCAGCTCTCCATCACGGGGAGCTCCGATGCCAACGTGATGGCTCGGGTCGACGAGATCCTCACATTTCTGGCGGAGGAAGGGCCGCAGGTAGGTAGAAGCATGCAGGGTGATACACATGCGCTTGCCTGCGTCCTGGCTCATCCATTCTCGTAGGCCAAAGATGACCCCGTGTTGTTCGAGAAGATGAAACGCGCAGCCGCCGAGCGCATCGAAGCTACAAACACACAGGTGAGGCCGGGCGGGGAGGAAACAACTGGATGGTGGTGGTGTGGTCATGTGTGTGTTGTGTTGTGTTGTGTTGTGTGGTGTTGTGTTGTGTTGTATATGTGTCAGCCCCCCTTTTCTCCCGCACAAGCGCCGTGGGGCGATCATCGACACTCCCGAGCTAGACATTAGCAAGGACTTCGTTCGTCGCATGGAGAACTCATTCGCATCTGCCGTGGCCAGCCTCAGCGTACGGGATGCACACCGTCCGCTACCAAGACCATGTTGACATTTCTCTCGGTTGCAGGAGCCCTTGGTGAGATTCCTGCTCCGGATCCCCCCCCTCGATGCCATCTGCCTGATGCAGAAGGCCGTCCAGGCGCTGGAGGCGGAGCGCCACCCGAGCGATGCCACGTTCTTCCTCCGAGGAGTCGTCACGGTCAGCAACAAGGAGAATGGCGAGAGAGCATGTTGTGTCTATGCGTGTATGCGTGTGTGCGTGTGTGTGGGGGATATTAGATGAGTATCTCGGCTTCCACGGCTCGGGTCGTGGACGTCTCTGCCGAGTCATCCGACGAAGCCAAGGCAATCAAATACGTCATCGGCAGTATGCTGGAAGTTCTGCCTATAGTGTGAGCGAACAACACACAGATCAGGAACACGCCATGCATGCCAGGGAAGATTGTGTGGCGGTGCTGGTTGCTGCTGGTTGCAGGGCGACGGAGGATTTGTTCGTTCATGTCGTGAAGAAGGGCGGTGCGTTTGGATTCAAGCTGGAGATGTCCCTGTGGACGGTGCTGCGCAAACACTACTACGATATCTGGGTGACAGAAAACACACACACATACACATACACACGGACAACATGACCACTCACGTGTGTGTTCTGTGTGTGTGCTCGTGTGCGCGTATGCACGTGCAGCACCGCGACATCGAGGCGAGCGACGATGCGCTGTGGACTGAGCTGAACAACCTCTTCACGCCATTCCTCATTGACAAACGAAACGTAGTGGAGCTGGGTCGCATCAAGGTCAGCAGGCACGCCAGCACAACACATACCGCTCCATCCATTCATCGATCCATCCTGTCACCTGTGTCGCTGGTGCAGCCTGGCCGAGTGGGCCGTCTGTGCGTTCTGCAGATGGTGGTCAACTCGGCATACGAGGCCCTCGAAGACTCCCCCGGCATGGCTACGCCACAGGGCCTGAAGGAAGTCCACTGTGCACTCAAAAGTAAGCTGTACCTGAAGTCCAACCATCACTGCACGATGGACATGTGCCGTGTGTTGTGTTGTGTTGTGTGAATGGTGCATGCAGCGTTGGCAGCCAAGTTTCTCAAGAAGAACGCCTTCTACCTGACTGAGGTCGAGCAGCGCTCTGTGGGCCGTGGCGACCCGCATGGCGTACTCTGCCTCGTGCACCACAACGCCTCGGCATGGATGGACCTGATGGGTTTTTCGGTTAGTCAACACATCACAATGCACGCCAACAACCGCACGTCTCTTTTCCCTCTTTGCTGTCTCTCTCTCTCTGTGCGTGTGTGTCTGTGTGTGTGCGTGTGTGCGTGCCAGGAGAAGAGCCCGGATGGTTCGCTGACGGACGGGAGCGTGTCTGACTTCGTGCAGTTCATCGGAGGCTCCCTCGGTGGACATGCCGAAGGCCTGAAGCGCGTGTGGGCCGAGCTGTCGCTGCACGTCCCCCTGGCTGACAACATCGAACAGGTAGGCAGCAGATGAACAGCCATGCTTATGTCGCCTGCATGGTCTGTGTGTATGTGTGTGTGCAGGTGCGTGTGTGGGAGGGCGCTGTGGTTTCGCAGCTGCAGCAGTTGATGCCGCTGGTCCGTGCCACGGCGTCGATCGCCAACATGTACCGCGTGCAGACCCCCGGCGGCGCCGTGTTCACGGGCAACATCATGAAATCCCACCCGCCGACCATCGCCATCCCACAGGAGTTTGGGACCATATACCACTACTTACCAGGTAACAGACAACCACACACAAAGGAAGGGTTGAGCTGCTCAAAGTGGGGTGCGGGCCGGGGGAGATGCAGTTCGTGGCGGGAGCATCAAGGCTGTGGATGAGGGTCTGGAGCTCGACGTGCGGACCGTGGTCAAGCAACTGCAGGGCATCGCCGTTGCCAAGGGGGGCAGCTGCGACAAGAAGCACAGCCAGTGGCACCTGGGGCAGAGCAAGAAGCCGTCTGCGTCTCCCGCCAGTCCTTCTGCAGGGTCGTTGGATGGTGAGCCCTGCACCAAGGATGAGAAAGGCGCACCGGCAGGGCTAAGTGCATGTGCGTGTGTCTGGGTGCGTGTCCCCTGGCAGGTTCGGCTGGCGCGTGTGGCCGCCTCTCGGCTGAGGCAGGCGTGGATGGATCGCAGTGTAGGCCTGCACGAATGCCATATATGTGAGTGTGCACATGTGCCTCTGTGTGTGTGTATGTGTGTGCTCATGTCAGTGGGTGTGTTGGTGAAGGAGGGATCCAAGAAGGATGACATCAAACCGCCGTTGATGGCCACAGGTGAGTGACATGTAAGACCCCACGTGCTGCTTGCAACAACGTCCTTTGTGTCGCTTGTTTTGCAGAGGAACCTTCGACTGATAGTTCGGTGAGCTCGCTCGTCGGAGGCCAGAAACCCCGCAGCGACTCGTCAGGTCAGAACAATGACAATAGAGAAGAGACGGAGACGCTGCACCCACCTGACACAAGTGTTGCTGTGTATGGGTGTGTAAGTGTGTGCGACAGTCCCGTCAGGGGGCAAGAAGCAGAAGAAGAATCTGGCGGACATGCGATCGATCCCCGAGTGACGCATGCAAGACGTACACCCATACCGTACCACCTACCTACCCTACAGACAGGCAGACAGACCCATAGACAGGCTGACTGATTGACTAGATACAGACATCCTGGCTGACTCGACTCGCTGCTATCGGTAGGCTTGGCTGGCTGACTGGATTGTGCAGTGAGGTGAGATAGGATTGCGTGGATGAGGGTTTGATTTGTCCCCGCATGCATCCTTGGCATGCCCATCCGATAGAGAGCGACCGATGGAGAGCGACAAACAGAGTGGCCCCTCAATTACCACCCCCCTTGTTGTCGATACAAGACACGATTGCCCGACATCAGCAGCCTGCTTGTCCTCTTCGTGCGTGCGTGTGTCCGTGTGACTGCCTGCCTGCCTGCCTTTTCTAAGAATGGATGGATGGATGGACGGACCCTTATAGCGATTCAAAGGCTGACGGTAGCTCAATGCTCATGGTCAATCGAATTTCTCACACATAAGAGATCCATCGGCACCCACGATACGCTGCTCCACGGCCACTAATTGTTGCACGACCATCAGCAACCGAGCGAGCAGCATCCCAGTGTTGTCATTCACTGTATCCAAAGAGCTATTGATCCCAACATCGCGGCAGGAGAGCCATCTCTCACCCGCCCCCCACCACCACACACATCAGCAAACATCAGCTGGCTTACTCAATCCTCCGAACCCACTTGCTGCACACACACACACACACACACACTCACACACCAGATCAGCCTCCCTCTCTCTCTCCCCTCTCACTCACTCACTCACTCACCGTCTGCTGCTGCAGGTGGTGGTGCGGGGGCGGTGTGTGTGGTGTGGCGGCGTCTGGCTCCTGGGGGGGGTGCTTACTCAATTCGCGTCGGTGATGGGTGCAGGAAAGGAGGGACTCGTGGCCCCCCAGTGAGCGGCCAGCACCATCTCCTCCATCTCATGCAGCCGGGCATCCATGTCGATGAGGCCCTTGGGCAGCCGCTCCATGCGCTCCCACGGCATGGGCCTCAAGCTATCCACCACCAGCTCGCGCAGCTTGCTCCCCACGTCCCTCGCCCACTGCATGCATGGCTCTGGCCGCTGGAAGAGCGAGCGGCTCTCCTCAGACACCACCGGCAGGGCGCGGGTTAGGGTGTCCTCCCAGAAGAGGCCGTTGAGTATTGAAAGGCGCCTCCGGTGGCAGTCCTTGTCGGCTCCGCGGGGCGGCGGCGACAGCCTCTCCATGTGGTCGTGCAACAGCTCGCCGACCAGCACGGAGAGCGTCTCCAGCCCCAGGCCGCCCACGATGGCCGCCTCCCCTATCCACATCTTGGCCTTCACCGTCCCGTCTTCCTGCGGCTCCTCCACGTCCAGCCCCCTCTCCTGCATGGCGCCCAGCAGCTGGCCCGCCCTGGCCTCGACTTGATCGACCTCGCCGTCGTCGGTTAGCCCACACCCGACATCCCAGCCATCCCTGTAGACCTCCTCAACGCCGCTCGCCTCCTGCTCGCGCCTCTTGGCCCGCTGACCGGCCCACTGCTTGGCCAGCATCACCGAGAACTCGGGAGCATGGTGGTGTGGGGTGATGGTCCACATCTGGTCGTACTCCTGGTCCTCCTTGGCGATGCTGGCGAGGATCGGCAGCCGTCCGATGCTGGTGGGGGGCGGGTGGGTGGTCGGCTTGTGGCGCAGGCAGTGGCCGAGGTCTATCATGCGCTCGTCGCATGCGATGCTGCTGCTGTCGTCTGTGATGATGGGGGCTGGCTGGCGGATGAGCAGGTCCTTGAGCTCGCCCAGCAGGGACACTTCCCCCGTGCTCCTGTCGACCCGCACCGCAGGGATGCGGTCGAGGATGGGCACGAGGGCGTCCGAGGACATGTTGTCCTCCGCCAGGATTTCGAGCAGGATGGCGGCGTTGTGTAGCCTCACCAGCCCACGCAGCAGAAGGAGGGCCAGGTCCTTGAGCAGCGCCTGTGTGTGCGGCTGGTGGAGGGCCAGGTCCTTGAGCAGCGCCTGTGTGTGCGGCTGGTGGAGCTGGCTGCTGCGGATGGCCCCACAAATCGCCGCACACCAAGGCAAGACCTTCCTCAGGTCACCATACACACCTGAGTGACGCCAATCACACAAACCCACACACACACCCACACAAAGGCACAGACAGGAAATGAAGAACTAATGAAATGCCCTGATTCAGTGTGAATTATCTTACTCATATTGAGTTTTGGCATCTGTATGGCGAAAACCCTCGACATGGCGGCGGCCTCCTCTGGCGTGACGGGGGCGTTGGCGGGCGATGGCGAGGCGAACATGGCCGCGGGGCTGCGGAGGTCGGTGTGGTGTGCGAGGAGGGGAAGGAAGGGGCGTCTGTCAGGAGGGATGCCCAGGTTGTTGCTGCGCTTCTCGACAGCGAGCATGACCCTCCTCTCCTGCCGTAGCACCCTCCACTTCTCCTCCTCCTCGTCAGACATACCCTCCATGTCCTCCAGCGGCACTGTCTTCCAGAGGAGGTGCGGCGCGTCGGCGGTGGTGAAGATGCGGGCGTGGCTACCGCCCTCGTGCTGGGTGAGGAGGCCGGACGGGGGACTCGCCGGCAGTGCTCCTATTACGGGCAGCGATGCCTGCACCGGCAGCTCTTTAAACACCGCCTCCACCGCCATCGGAAACTCACTCACTCGCTCACTCGCGCGTGTGGGTTCTCGTGCTGGGGCTGCTCTGCTGCTTCGGAGAAGCGTTGTAAATTTGGTTCACTGAACAAACACCCACAAACAGTCGAGAGATCAGTGCCGCCAAAGCGGGGCCAAGCAGCGAAGCAAACAAGCTGCGGAGCGCTGGGAAGCATTTGCAGTGAAACAGGCCCTCCTCGACGCGAAGTGAGTAGTGCTTCTCTCGAGAGCCTCTCCGCCTCTCTCGAGAACCATAGACGTCATCATTGCATCGTCTGCTCCCCCTCTTCTCAGCCATGAGCTTCTTTTGCAACTTGTTGGACCTTCGGCGAATTTTCATCGAGTGATTTGAGTGATTTGAGAAGAATGAGTGAATCATTCATCATTCGTGAGTGAGGGGGAGCGAGAGATGAATGCCGAGCAGGCTATGGCAGGGGAGGATAGCTAGTGGTGAGAAGGCGAACTTAGAGATCGATTGAGGTGTGTTGGTGTGGTGAGTGACTGTCGTGGGCTGGTGTTGGGACACTGTGACTCAGAGTGCTCGCAACAACGGGCGACGAACCACACACTCAACACCGCTGCCCTCCCGTCGTGCCGCGATTTCTTTTTGTGTGTATGTTCGTGTGAGTTTGGCTGTCTGTCTGTCTGTCTCTCTGCCTGTCTCTCTCCCTCCTTCCGTTGTCAATACAGCAGAGAAGCGCCTGACTATTTGTGCGAGTGCCTGCCTGCCTGCCTACCTTTTGTAAGCATGGATGGATGGATGGATGGACTTGTGCAGATGGACGGACCCTTATCGCCATTCAAAGGCTGACGGTAGCTCAATGCTCACGGTTACGACACAATCGAATTACTTACACATAACAGATCCATCCATCCATCCGTCCACTCGTATGCACGAGATGCTGCTCGGGCCGCTCCAGATGTGCATAACATGGGGTGGATGCACATGCCATCTTCTCGACCAGCAGCAACCGAGCGAGCAGCATCCTAGTGTTGTCACTCACTTTATCCAAAGAGCTATCGATCCCAACATCGCGTCCTCACACTCTCATCAACAAACGGGTGCCAGCCGGCACTGGCAAACCCTCGCCCCGCCCCGCACCGCCACCACACATCAGCAAACATCAGCTGGCTTACTCAACTCGCAGAAAATACACAATACACCACACCACTGGCCGACCGTCTTGTCGATCGCAGCCAGCCGGCTGAAATCAATTCAGGGTGCCTCTCACTGCAGCCCTGTCTACATACGGCTAACCATCGCCCACCCCCAATCCCATTGCACCCCTCTGTCTACCCCATGATCCGTCTGCGTCGCAGTCTTCTCGCCTCAGACGGCAGCGAGTACCGCCGCACCCACCTACTCGACCTTCCGAAGCTGTCGATGGGCACGATCTCCTCGCCATCCACTGGGTCCCGCAGCGGCTCGTCAGCCCGCTGCCGACCCCACCCATGCAGAAAGCTGAAGCGGTGGTTGCTGGTAGTCGAGCCAGAGCGGGTCCTCGACTCGCGTCTGGCGGATGCAGCGGTGGGTCTGCCGAGGGACATTCCCACACCTCGGGAGCGGCGCATCAAAGGGATGCGGTACATGGTCTCTGCACACACACAACACAAGGGGGCAACGACAATCGTGAGCAGGGCTGCGGACATGCATGTGTTCCCATATCACGCATGTGTTGTTCGCTCACCGAGTGACCGGAGGAACTCTTCATCGTAGTCGTTCTCTCCCCTCGGCTCGGGGCCATTGTCACCTCTGGGTGAGAGAGCGTCGAGCACCAGCTGGTTCTGGTGGAGCTGCAGCCGCAGGCGGGCGATGTTGCTGCCGCGGAGGGCGTTGGACGGGTCGAGGGAGGACGTCCCGCGAGCCGTGTCGTTTGGGGGCAGGTTGGGCCGGTCGATGCGCAGCTGACAGATGGGGCACGTCTTCTTGACAGCCAGCCACCTGACAGAGGAGTGGGTGCGGTGGCGATGTGATGCCTGCACGTCTCTATGTCTCACTCACTTGTCGACGCATTCGGCGTGAAAAGAGTGGAAGCACGGTAAATTCTGCAATCATCCCATACACAGACACACACACACACACACACGTCCATCCCTGGCTGGCATGCATCGAGGTGCCTAAGGTGTTCGTTCCTTCCTCTTAGCTCTTCCCTTCACCTTGAGTTTGTCGCCCTCGTCGAATTCCTCTTGGCACACCATGCACTTGTTGCGCTCGTCATCACCAACACCCTTGCCGCCACACTCGTCGTCATCCTTGGCGGCGGCCTTGCAGCTGTAGGTGTAGGTGGGCAGGGCGTTGATCTCAAAGTGAGACGCACCAACGGTAAATGGGAAACGGTTCCGACGCAGCGACAACCTGAGCGATGACCCGAATCATTGCAAGACACCCAGAGAGAGGTGAGACAGAGAGAGGCGCGTGTGTGACGGCTCCGGGGCTGTGTGGAGGGATGGATGGTGTGTGGTTGGTGGTCGAGCACCACCAGCTGACCTGCTGCTGATGAGGTCTATCTCGCTGATGATGTTCTCACTCCTGTCGCCCAGCAGGTTGGGGGGGTCGTTGGACGAAAACACACGCTGGTTGTCGTCCAGGAAGGAGTTCAGCAACTCCTGAAAAGAGAGATGAAGCAAGCAAGGAAGCAACACAGCCGACAGTTCTCCACTTTGTCTGCTCGTGCTGTCTCATTCTCGCTCACCAGCTGTCTCCTCAGGCTCATGCGAGCCTCAGCCCCGCGGGATGCGCCACTGGGAGACACACTGAACACACACAAGCACACAGATCCACTCATGGACAGACAGGTGCCTTCCTGCCTGCCCTCCACACATACCACCCCAGCCTTTTACCTGGATGCAGCGGCGGCCGATGCAGCGCCGGCCGCCTCCCTCGGCACGTCCTCACTGCCGTCATTCGTCGCGTCGGCTGCACTCGCACTTGAGCTCACAGACTGGCTGGTGTTCCTTGACGCGCCCACGCTGCTCGTGGCTGCCGCCTCGGCAGGGCCTGCGTTGGCGGTGCCGCGCGCGGCAGCTGCCGAGGTGCCAGTAGAGAGTGAGAGGGATGGGAAGAGGTCGTCCAGGAGCAGGGGCAGCTGGGGACTGCCGCGGTGACGGCGCTGCGCCTCCAATAGATATTGCTGCAGACATAGAAGGACACCACAGAAGCAAACACGACCATGCAAGACGAGACACACTCTTTTTTGTGTGTGGTTCTGACCTGCTGCAGCCGTCTGGCAAGCAGTTCATCTGCATCTCTGACGGACGAGCCTTCGGGTGCCCTGGTCTGGCCCTCAGCGGCCACATCCCTGTAGCCCGTGTCGCCCCCGCTCCCGCCAGACTGCTCCCCGGATGCAGCAGGACTACCCACGGCGTTGGGCGGCTCAGTGGTCGTTGACACCGCAGCAGCAGCAGGCGGCCTGGGTGGCTCCCCTCTCTCGAGCGGCACAGCCGGCATTGGTCGCGGCTGTGTTGTGGAGGTGTCCTCCAGGAAGAGACGCCAAGCGATCTGCTCGTCAGTCTCCACCTGACATGGATGCAAGGCAAGAGAACCGACATCAGTGATTCGATTCCATCACGTATGCGTCCCTGTCTTGCGGTGCTCATCTCACCTGTGGCTGTCCTGTAGGGTCATCTGCTGTGTTGGTGGTGGCGTCGTGTGCACCGGAGGAGGCTGACTGAGCTGCCGTGGATGCGCCTCTGCTGTCGTCGCTGCGGCTGGGGCTCATGGAGGGGTTCACCACCGGGGGGCCGCAGGGCACACGGACACTCACACGGGTTGGGCTGTTGGACACGTGCGCGAAAACGTTCTCGGGGTACACCTCTGCACACACCAGACCAGACCCACACGGGACGAGACACATCCATCCGGCATGCTTGATGCTCCGTGCTCCGCGTTGTGCGTACCGAAGTTGAGTGTTATTGCAAAGTCGTCGGGCAGCTGGTGTCTGGACACCACGTCCGTCGCTGTCAGCTGACACTTGACCAGCCGCAGCCCATCGATCCGCACCGTCTCAGTCACACGCCCAACCCCATCACGCACCTCACCCTCATCGCTGCTGCTGCTGCTGTCACCGCCCGTAGCCGCACGTTTGGCTCCCCCTGGTGGCCGATGGAGAATGTCCGACAGATGCAGCTGGAAGGTAGCCAGGGGGGGAGAGTGGGCCGTGGGGGACCGGTCGGAGGCACTGCCCCCTTCTGGTGCCGTTGCTTGGCTTCGTTTGAAGAGGGAGGTGAACCGGCCGCCGGCGGGGGCTCCTCGGGCTGACGATGGTGCACTGGTGTCGACGGTGAGGAAGCTGCGGGATGGGGGGGAGGAGTGAATGAAGGCGAGGAGCTCGCCGTCGATGCGCTTGTCGACCTGCAGGTGCCAGTGCGACTGCTGCGAGCCAGCCGAGTTGGGGCTGGTGGACGGCGTGCCTTCGACTCTGCCGTTGTTGGGGGCGGTGACTGACCCCTCCACCTGGCTCAATCGACTAGCGACCAGAGGCGCGTCAGACGCTGCAAAAGACATTGATACAGAATCAAAGGAAGACGAGCAGTGAGCGAGTCTGCCATGCTCCTGTCCCTCCCCTGGTGTGGTGTACCTGTGGAGTATATCTCCACATAAAGTGGCGCGGACGTCTCCATGTTGGCTGCACTCTCGTTGACGGTGATGCTCTGCAGCATGCACGTCGAGAACGCCTCCATGCCCAGCACATGCCGACGTGTTGCATCGTCCATCCGCCCCACAGCAAAGCCGCTGCTGGGACGTCCCAGGCCACTCATGATGCTCCACCGCCGCCATCGGCTGCTCTCACCACCAGCCACTGGCACCAGTGAAGCCGGCAGGGATGCTCTGCGGCCGGCGAGGGGATTGCCGCCGGCCGACCCGTGCGCAGCGGACGACCGTGCCGTGTTGGCGGCATGGAGTGGTGTTGATGCAGCCCGCCGTCTCAGCCGGGATCGCTGCATGGCACTGGCCAGCTGAGTGGCGTAAGGGCTCGGGGTGACACGGTAGGACGGTGGACAGAGGGCCTCGCACAGCCGCTGAGCTTGAAGCACGAAGCCATCGAGGGTGGCAGTGACATCGCCCGTCCCTCTGGCCACGATTTGGTCCTCAGGTGCGAAGGCCAGGAGTGCCGAGAGGAAGCTGAGGATGGCATGGGGCGCTGCCGGGCATTGCAGCAGCACCACATGCCTGGGATCAGCCGTTAGCCACTCCTCCATCGCCTGGCAGGTGCTGAAGACCTTCTCCAAACACAGCGGGGCGATGCTCATCGGACCTCCCCTCCCGCCGCCGAAGCCCACATCCGCTTTGACCACAGTGGAGTGCAGCCCACTCCTGCTATGGCCCTCAGTGTCGCCCCCCGCTGCACAGCGCACATCGAACACCAGGCAGTGGCACCCGCCACCATGTTGCTGACAGAAAGCGCGGGTCTGCTTGCGGGTTTCTCGTTGATTGCTGGACGGCTTGAGGGCATAAACGCGCCCCGAGATGCTCACGATGCCCTCTGGTGCGGGGTGGTTGGCGCGAGGCTGTGTTGGGGTGTCCTGGACAGAGGCAGCTGCGGTGTCTTGCGAAGGGGCGCTCTCCGATCCAGGCACCGAGCCATTCTCCGTCGAGCCTCGCGGGAGGAACGACAAGGCCACCATCCTTCAGCGAGCAGGTCAACGAACACACCCCGCACTTGTCTGACTCAGGATCGAGCCACTGTGCAGCATAACTCACTTCGTACGTGATTGTGTTAAGGGTAATTGGTTGCGGGTCCTCACCTCCTTTCCCTTCCTCTGGTTTCTAGCTCGCATTCGATCGGTCTGCAAGCTTAGCTCACGACTCCCCCCCGACGATCTCCGGAGGAGGGCGTAAGAAGAACCACAGCACGGGAAAACACCTACAGCGCTTCGTGCGGAAGCAACATGGCAGCCAAACGTGAGGACAGGGCGACTCGAACACCCAACCGTCTGATCTGGAGTCAGACGCTCTACCTTTGAGCTATGTCCCCGTAACACTCAGCGGACATCGTCGTGGTCCGGTCTGAGCAGAAGGCACGGTCGAAGCAAAACGATCAAGTGGCAGATCTGTGACAAAAAAAAGAAAATGATGGCTGTTGCACTCCAACTGTGGACGTCCGCAGTGCTGTTGTTATGGAGATGCTGCTGGGTTCTCTCATCTTTGCCATCGTCAGCCTCATCTGCATCCTTAGCGCACAGCAATGACGTGACACACCTGTCACAAGCATCGAGGCGCCTGGCGCTCATCTCTCCCACGCCCTTCCACAGGAGAACAGCACGACGACGGCATCATGGTTTGCATCGATGGCAGAGGAGCCTGTCATCACCTGCCACAGGCTCATCCGCTCTATGGAGAGATGTTGCAACCTCTCGGCGGCTGCCATCTGTCAGCCTGGGTGCTGCATCTGGTCGTGTTGAGACGGAACCCCAACCAGCGCCTTCAACTGAGTCATCCACCGAGCCGCCGCCCGACTCATCTCCTCCCCAGCAGGAGGATGATGGCAGCCCTGCGTCGGAGACCAACATGAACTGGCAGCTGCGGTTCGCCGAGCAGGAGCTCAAGTGTACTCTGCGGGAGATGAACCAGAAGGAGGTCTTCCAGGCACGGCTCTGCCCACGACCCATATGCGACGAAGTCGTCAGCTATGCGCGAGAGCTGACTTCGGTGAGGAGCCTTCAGGGTGGCTGGAAGGAGGGGCGGGGAGGGGCAGGGGCAGGGGAGGCCACGGAGATGACGATTGACTCGATGAGTCAGAGGAGGGCGCTGCTCGAGGGCACGTGGCGGGTGGCCTTCACAGAGGAGGTGCGGTACAATGTCTTCCCGCAGGGCCTCGACGCCTTCCTGGTCTTCGACCACGACGGCCGGTACGAGAACTACGTGACGGCACGCAACTTCACATGGCGGCTGCAGTATGGGGGCGACTACCAGCTCGTCAGCGAGCAGGCACTGCTGCTGCGGAAGAACAACCTCAAAGTCAACTTCTTTGGCCTGTCGATACCCACACTGCCGTCCGTCGGTGAGGAGAAGCTGTCGATGGATTACTTTGACGGCGACTTGTGGATCGAGAAGCTGCCTCCACAGCCAGACAGCGACCCCGATGTGGCCTTCAATATCTACCAGCGAGTCAGGACAAAGTCTGATGGCGAGAGGAGACCGGAGGGGGTGAGGGAAACGGATGAGAGCGGGGGTGCTGGTGGGGGCGGGGAGACGTCGAGGGCGCCATACTTTCCATGACGGTCTGTCTTATGAGAAGGGTGGTTGCAGGTTGTCCGTCCTAAGGATGTTCTGCGAGGGCATGATTTTTGGGTCGTGGGTGTGAGTGCTGTGTTGCTCTCGCGGAAGGCGCGAGGCGAGGCCAGTAAGTATATTGTTCGATGCGCACATTGAGGCGCTGTGCTGTGTGTGGGATGACGATGCATCAAGCGAGACGGATGTGTGTATGTGTGGCGGCGTTCCGACATCGAAATCAAACCGTCAACTCAACCAGTGCTCTGTCTATGGCTTAAAACGTAGCACATAAGCATCCATCCATCCATCAAGAGTCCGTCATCCACATGTTAGCCATCGACACATGCGTGGAAGGGCTGGAGACGCTGACGGATGTGGAAAAGAGGGCGTTCTTCATCAATCTCTACAACTGCCTGACTTTCCACTGAACCACTCACACACACCACCACAGGGCGTCAGGATCTCCGCCGTGTTTCATAGAAGCTCCTGGGCTTCTCGTGCTGCTGGGGGTAGTGGCTGTGCTGCTGCCGCCTCTCACGACTGTCCTTCTCGCGATAGCCCCCTCTGTCACCCCGCCAGTCGTCGCCCCTGCTATCACGCCAGTCGCCAGACGATAATCCCTGCGTCACCGACCCCCGTGTATAGTGCCCGTCGCCTCTAGCTCCCTCGCCCCTCGGCCCGTACGCATCGCTCCTCATCGATCGTGTCGAGACGGGCTCCGGGGGCGGCGGACCCTCCTTCCGCCTCTCCGACTGACGCGATGATGATGGCCCGTTCGGCGCTCCACCGCCCCCACTGGCCAGCCGGCTGCTGCCTCCAGGTGCTGGCGCGGGCGAGTCGAGCGAATTCAGCGCATTACGCGGTCGGCCTCCAGGTGCAGTTGCCTTTGGTGTGGCCCTGCGGTCACTCCCTCGCTCACTGCCTCGGTCACTGCGGACAGGAGACTTCTCATGCTGGCTAGAGGCAGCTGATGCAGCGGCAGCGGCGTCCCCTTTCCTTGGCCCCTCTTGGGACTCCTTGACGCGGCCGTTCTGGCTTGACGGTGGAGAGGCGGCCCCCTTTGCCGCGCGATCGGGTCCAGCCTGTGAGGCCGGTCCAGCAGATGACGGCGGTGGGGCGGATGGCCCATCTCGCCGTGCACCAGGCGCTCTCCCTGTGCCGCCGGACGGAACAGGCGAAGCAGCACGCGGCGCCTTGGACACACCATCTGCCTTGGCGCCCGGCTTGGCAGCAGCTGATGGCGTCTCCTTGGCTGATGACGGTCTGGGGGAGAGGGCGGCTCTCGACGAGGCCATCTGCTCGCGAACGGCCTCCTTCTTCTGCGCCAGGTGCTCCTCGGCCTTGAGATCTGCGGCTGGTTTGGCCGCAGCTGACGGCTTCACAGGCGGGGACGACGGTGGCTGACCAGTCGGCTGCTTGGGGGGTGTGGATGTCGGCTTGGGTCTCAGCTGGGGTGTCGGTGTCGATGTGGGGCTGCGGGCGGGGGGCGACTTGGATGTCGCCTTGGGCCCCAGAACAATGCCGCCCGTCTTTGGTGACGTCGAGGGAGGCCGCGGCGAAGTGGACGCTGCCTTGGGGGCAGCCGCCGCAGCAGCGGAGGGACCTGACGGCGGAGGGGACTTGCTCGGTGGTGGCTTGGGTGAGGGCACTGAGGCGGCCTTGGGACGTGCAGACGGCTCTTGCTGCTGCTGTGGTTGTTTCTCCTGTGGTGGTTGTGTAGATGGCGGTCTCACTGTCGGTGCGGCGGCAGCAGCAGCTCCAGCTGGTGCCTTGGTCGGCGGTGCAGTAGCCTTGGGCGGAGGGGACTTGGCCTTCGGCTCAGACGAGGCCGCGGGGGCCGCCAGCGCATTGGCCGCTGCGCGCGGTGCTTGGGGGGCGCGAGAAGGTGCACCGCTGTCGGCCACAGAAGCAGCAAGGGGTTTGGCTGGCGCCGGCGCAGGGCGAGAGGGCGGAAGCGTCTGCTGTGTCGGTGGCCGTTGAGCAGGAGCAGCACTCGGCTGTGTCCGTGGTGGCGGGCCGACGTCAAGGAGATTCTTGGGTGGCGGGGGCGGCAGGGGACGCGGAGGCGATGCAGCAGGGGAGGGCTGCTTGGGTGAGCTCTCCGGTGGTGGGGCTCGCTCCTGCGCCTTGAGCCACGCCTTTAGAGACTGATGGGCTGCATGGTCGCCCACATCCAGCCGAGGGGCATCGTGCCTGCAAGGATGAAAGACACACCATGACACACACCACACCCAGGATCTCATCCATCCAATTGCCTCACATGGTCATGCTTCCTGGTCCTGCGGCTCACCTGAGCTTTTGGTAGGCGTAGCCGTTGGCATTTGACCTGACATCCGGCCAATCCATTCTCTGATTCAAAGATGGATGCCAAACACACCACAGATGAATGACCCACACGCATGGGTTGATGTCTGGTTCTGTTGGCTGACGTCTTTTGCGGCATGCGCCCCGAGTTGGTCCATCAGCTTCCGGAGCTCAGTGGCCACGAACTGCGTGCAGGGGAAGGCCTGGAAGCGGCGACACACAGGACATGAGGACCTGTTGCCTTCCTTCTGTGTGTCATTCATTCAGTCCGGTGTGTGTTGCCTACCGGTGCGGCCTGGACGAGGAAGGCCAGCCCCCGCTTGACTTCCTGGTAGGCATTCTCCTTGTTCCTCTTCACCCGCTCCTGCTGCCGCTCCTTCTCAGCCGCTGCCTCCTCCTCATCCATCTTGGAGTCGTCGTCGCCCTTGTCGCCATCGGCCGCAGCCTCCAGTGGGCCATCAGACCCATCCAGGGCTTGACGAACCACTGCAGATACACGCAGAGTGTTGTGTGTGTGTGTGTGTGTGTGTGTGTCGGCGGGTGTTGCGGTCACAGCATCCATCCCTCACTTGTGAAGAAGAATGTGAAGATCTCTTCCTCAAAGTGCATCAGCAGCACGAGTAGCTTCTCGCCCAGCGGCTGGGGGGCGAGGGTGGGGGTGGCGCTCTCGGTTGCCGGGCCTGGTGCTTCACTCGCGGGTGGTGGGTCGGTCGACCTGGCCACCAGCTGGGCTTGGAAGATGCTCAAACACGGGTTCTCGTCAAACTCCTGGGCGAAGATGGATAAGTGCTCGAGTGACCAGATGGGACTCATTTACTTACCTTGACGTATTTGTTGGGTGCCCTTTGCCATTCGGTGAGTGTGGTGAAGATCTTGTTGAACAACGAACCACACGACCACGCCTCGCTGTCCGTCATGCCCCTGAACCACACACACACACAGAGCGTGACGTGTGTTGGCTGGTGGGTTGCCTCCGCCCTCTGCTCACCTGATGAGTGGGGGCATGGTCTTGACACAGGCCTCCACCAATGGGAAGAAGTAGAGGTTTGGCGTACGGGCCTCCACCAGCCGCGTCATGAACTCCCACCCAAACATGGCGTCGCCGGTGGAGCACTTGATCCGCGGGGCCAGCAGGTACTTCACCACACACACGGCCGGGTGCAGGTAGTGGGGGCTGGCGTGCAGGTACGCACACGCACCCTCCTGTGCGGATGCGTCGAGGGAGGCGTTTGTGGGGGCTGTGAAGAAGTTGATCTTGTCGTGGTCGATGCGCTCCGTCACGTGCTGCTGATTGGTTACGAGGCGGTCAAACTCCGCCTGCAGCACCACACCAACAAGGAGGAAGAGAAATACACGAGCCGTCCATCCATTGCGTCATTGCTTCTTTGTCACCTGTAGCTCCTGTTTGGACGTTTTGAGCCGCTCGACCTCCTTCTCGAGCACCCTGATGTCCCTCCTGACATCCTCCTCGCGATCAGGCGCTCGGCCATAGCGGTCCCTCTTGTCCTGCAGCAAGGCGTCACGCCGCCGGTGCACCTGAACACACACATACAGAGCACAAAATGAATGGATGACAAACGAGTCCTGAGGGTGTTGGTGTGCACTGCACTGCACTGCACAGACCTCCTTGATGTTGGTCTCGATCTGCTGCAGTGTGGCGTCATAGACGTCCTTTGGCACCAGCATGTCGCTCCAGTCCAGGCGCCAGAAGGTCAGGTACAGGTCCATCGTGAAGCCCTCCAGCCAGCCCCCACCCACTCCTCCCCTCCTCACACAGCCCTCCTCCTTGCGCCAGGCCAGCAACTGACCCCGCATGGCCAGCCACGGACGGGGAAACGCCCCCGCCACCATGTCCTTGTCGCCATCGCCAGTGGTACTGTCAGCGGCCTGTGACGTCTTCTTGGGCGGCGGGGGCGAGTCGGCCTCTCCCTCAGCTTTCCGCTTGCCGGATTTGGCCTGGGGCTGCTGCTCCTCGTGCTGCGCGTCAGTCTTTCTTCTCTTGCTGCGGTCTTGGGTGGGGGCGGCGTCAGCTGCCGGGGGGACAGACGATGCGGGAGCGGCCTGCTCAGCGGCAAAATGGGCGCCGACCATGGCCCCGATGCCCTCCAACACCGCCTCGCCATCGTCTCTCTTCTTCTGTGCCAGGGAGCCGTCGACCTCCATGCTGTCGTGCTTGTCAACCAGGGGGTATGGCGGGAGAGACGGTCGCACGACTCTGAAAGCCTCCTCCACCTCCATGTAGGCCAGCAGCCGACCGAAGGTCGGACACAGCTCCGCATAGTCGGTCTCGAATGCGGCGCCGCTGCCCCTCTTGCCCGCCCTGACCTTTGCCTGTTGGCCGCCCTTGTGTGTGTGCTGTGGGTGTGGGTGTGGCTGTGGCTGTTGGTGTGGCAACATTGGATGTGCGTTGACGTTGGTGTTGTCGGCGAGGAACTCGCACAGCCCCTGGAGGCACATGTGGGCGTCGTCACCGAGCCCGCCCAGCGTCCGGAGCACCTGGTCGGCCTTGCGGACGTAGTCGGCATATCGCTTGTCGCTCGACAGACGGGCTGTCAGGTGCTGCTTGGCCGACGGCCAGAAGGCACCACTCAGCTGACCAGCCAGCGTGTAGATCAAAGGCACCACCAGCTTCCCATCCGTCGAGATCTCGGTTGCCACGGCCGCCTCTACCTCATCAAAGGGACGCTTCCTCGTGCTGCTCACCGCCCCAACTGCTGCAGCACCTGAGTCCGCGCTGGCCGCTCTTGAGGCGTTGTTGAGGTGCAGTTGCGACTTGTTGAGGGCCCGCAGGAGGGCCTCCTTGCCCTTGCGGAGCAGACGAGCCACCTCTTTGTTCTCGGCGTCTGACGGCAGGCCGTCGCGGTGGGTCTGGAGGGCGTGGAACCGCAGGAGTGGCCCGCCGGCCTGCGCCCGTATCTGTTCAGCGTTGAGGCTGGTGTGCTCTACGAATGGGATGCCGCCCATGTACTTGAGCACCTCCTGCACCAGCAGCCGTTCTAGCGAGACGTCCTGCAGGCAGACAGAGGTAGGAGGGGACACACATGGCCATCGTAAGAAGCGTCCAGGTCGTCTCGCCAGGACTATCTAGTGGCAGGCCTGTGTGTGTGTGCATGTTAGTTACATTCTCGGCGAGTTTCTGGATGATGCAGACGAGCAGGGGGAAGATATCGACATTGGGGTGCCTGCAGAGAAGAGATCCCACACAATAATGCGGTGCTGTGAGTGGTGCCATCCACGCCACGGGCGTCTGTCTTGTCTGTGGTTTGTTTCTGCCTCCCTGACTTTCTGAGGAACTTTGCGTTCCATTCGAAGATGGCCGGGAATGCGGTGCCCTGCGGCATCTTGAGCCCCGCCGCCTCGCACTCCTCCAACAAACCATCCCGACCCTCGCCACTCTCGAGACGCCTGCATCACATGTGGGGGGGGTGGGGTGCACCAGGGTAGGGGATGGAGGCATATGATAGATGGCTCATGGCCTCCGGGGGTGCTTCCGTGTGGGCTTACAGGAACGTAAGGATGAAGACGGCGGCATCAGCGCTGAAGTCTGTGACGGTCTTGGTGGTCTCGACGAGGTGGGGGATGATGTTTGGCGCCATCTTGACCTGTTTGTTGGCCAGCGTGAACACTGGAAAGGGGTTGCACACGCAGTAGCGGTAGAACAAGTTGTGGAGGTTCTTGCTCGTGTGAGCAGACGTCCGCGGGCCGATGTCCAGATCCACGTCCATGGCGTCTGCCGCAGCGCCGCCCATGCTCATGAGCTGCATGCCCCCCGAAGGGCCGCCTGACTGGCGGGCGGCCGACTGCTGCTTGGCCACGATGCGCTTGAAGAGGCTCGTCGCCATCTTGCTCGTCCCATGCCACTGGATGCTCTGCACAGACACACAGACACACAGACAGACACGCAGGAGAGTAGGAGATGAGAGGGGCATCAAGAAGCGGATCAGTGGCTAATTCACCAGGGGGAATTCGGTATATGCCTTCATCAGGTCAGCATAGACAGCGTATCGTCTGTCGGTGGAGAGGCACTTGAGGAGCTCCCATATGCCCTCAGACACCATCGAGTTGGCCGGCAGGTAGGTCATAGCTGGCATCAACACATGCAGCAGGAGGGGCTCCTGAAAGGCAAGAAGCAGACGGGGAGAGAGGAACCAACCGGCACCGTTAGCCCACAATGGATCGCCAGACCGCACCCCTTGCGTCCCTCACCCACCAGCAGCTCAAACAGGGGCGCCTGGGGGCCGCCGTCAGCAGCCCCACCCATCACCGTGTCGCCGTCCTCTGTCTTGCCAGATCCCTCCAGCTCCACTCCCTTTAGCAGCACCCCGTTGACCATCGTCAGCAGCGACGCATCACCGTGCAGCAGATACCCCGCATGGTACAGCATCGGCAGCACTCCAGCCAGATCCTCCCATTTCTCGCACTGCCGCACTCCCTGCACCATCGAGTCGTCGCCCATCGCCTCGTCTTGCGTCACATTCGAGAATGGCGACCAGGAGGGCACCTTGACGGGCGGCTGAAGGCCGTACTCGTGGAGCGACTTGCCCTGCTTGCGTGGGCCGCGTGGCTGTCTGTTTGCGAGTGGGTTGATGTCGCGGAGTGGGTGTATTTGCTGGTAGAGAGGGTCGATGACCCACCTCATGAGGCGGAAGAAGCTGCTGCGGATGGCGTGGTGCATCAGGGGCATGAAGGCGGGAAACAGCGGCGGAGCTTCGGGCGGCGAGCCGTCCACGGGCTGCGTGAGCTGGTGGATCATGGCCTCGGCCAGGGGCCATGCGTTGATGTCGATGAGCGCGGCGATGAGTCTCAGCTTGGTGGAGTGGAGTGCGTTGACGAAGGCCAGCATCTCGCAGTAGTTGTAGTCGAGGGGCAGCTCCTCATACTTGAGAGACTGCAGCAGCTTGACGTCCAGCGACAACTCCTCCTCGATCTTGCTCTCCTCCCGCACTCCAGTCTTGTCGCCGCCACCGCTGCTGGTGCTTGCGACATCCTTCATCATGGCCACCGGCCCCTTGTGTCGGTCGTCCTTGACGAATGACCGATGCAGCCCCACCTCACCCTCCAGCCTCATATACCGGTCGGGGTGGTCGCTCCTCGGCCGCTCCTCGGCTTGCTTGGACTGCTGCCCACCACCTCCGCCGCCCTTCTGCTGCTCCGGGTGGGGGAATGTCGCATCCGCCAGATTGATGGGAAGACAGCGCGTCAGATCCCCCTGGTGTCCTGAAGTCTTGTCAGCTGCGACGAGTGCCCTTGGCGGCGCCGGCCATGAGTCGTCGGGATTGCGGGTGAGGGGCATGGCCTCGGTGTCGGCAGTGTCATGCCTGCTGGAGGGTGAGCCTTTGGAGAAGGGCGTGGGGATGCGCGACGTGTAGACGCCCTTGCCCATGGACCGCAAAGGGGCCGGGGATGGCCGGCTGCTATCGTCCTGGCCTTGGCCTTGATGCAGCCGCACCATTCCTGGTCCCCTGCCACCGGTGGCCGCTCGCACGGCGTCTGCAGTCCTGCGAGAGGCGTCGGGCTTGAGCTCAGCCGACAGCCGATAGTTGCGGTCGGACGGCGCGCCTGTGGTCGAGAAGCTGTACTGCTCTTCCTCCTTGGCATAGAGGTACATGACGAGGTGGTGCAGCAGGTGCAGATGGTGGTCGGGGGGATCCAGAAAAGGATAGATGCGCTCCAGATCCGCCAGGCTAGAGAGGAAACGAAGGGGGGGAGGGAGGGAGGGAAGCAGGCAGGCAGGCAGGCAGGGCACACACACCAAGGAAGGAAGGAAGGAATGGCATCCATCCATATGGGGCTTGGCTTCATGAGATAGATAGATACTGAGGCGGTGCGGTGAGGGTGGGGT